ATATTGTTGAACATAGATTTCATATTGTTTTTCATCAATATTTTTCATTGTACATAATTGTTTTACTTCTGTTGACCATATTTGTTGTTGAATACCTGCTTCAAAATATCGTGTCCAACGTTTTAAATCAAGTTGAATCACTCCAATTTGATGTTTATATTCGATAATAGCTTGTAAATCACTCCATGGTATCATTGAATTGCCCATAGTATGATGAAACATTTCATCCATGGTTTCTAAATAGGATGTTATTTGATTTGATGTTTGTTTAATATCGACCACTTTCGATAAAAAAATTCGTTTTTTTCTTGAGTTTTCTTCTTGACTTGATGTTGGTGTAGTTACTGGACGTTTTTGACCTCCGGTTGATAATTCAATTATTTTTTGTGATAAAACTTCTTCTTGAACATTTTCATTCTTCGTATCATTCTTTTCATGTAAAATGATCGGTTCTTCTTCATCATCTTCATCGTCATCATCTTTATCATTGGTATGATCATCAAAGTCTTCATAATAATCTTCTAAAATCATACGTTCGACTTCTTGTTTATCATCATCATTGTCATCGTCGATATTGACAATATCAAATATATCATCAAACCAATTCATATTATTAAACTAAATAAAAATGATTTATTTATCATCATCAATAGATTTATAAAAAAAACATCACTTACTATCGATGGATTTGCCATAATGATCTGAAATCAATGATATCTACAATAAAAAAAGAAAAAAAACTAATTCAATGGACGAATAAGATTTTCATAACATAATTCATCTGTTGATTCAACATGAATCGATGAATTATCAGCATCTAAATGACCAAAAGTATTTGATTTTGTTTCAGCATGTGTTATGAAGAGACTTTCAATAAATCGTCGTAATGCATTTGATGTATTATCTGGTACTAGACAGGATACAAGAATAAGAAAAGACTAGACAATCTTATTAAATACTTACAGACAGCAATAATTTGAGCTTCATATAAATCAAAATGATTATTTAATGAATGAAGATATTTCTTTTGTTGAAAAAATTTTTCGATATCTAATTTTTGTTGAATAGTAAAATGATAATTTCTATTTGATGGTACAGGTATATCATTAGCAAATTGATATGGATAATGATGATCATCATCGAATGTAATTTCTCGTTCTTGTTGTTGTTCTTCATTATCTGTAAGACGTTGTGGAATAAATAACCAATAATCAGGATTTTCATCCAAGAAATATTGCATTGCTACTGAACAACGACATAAATGTTGATATAAGAGCATACCATCTTTAACCAATGTTCTACAAAAAAATGTAGTTAAAAAAGAAAACAAAAAGAATATCAATCTTACTCATAAGATTTTATTGCATCTTCATTAATATAATTTGTTAATTTTTTTCCAAGAAGAAATTCTTTTATAATACGATTGCCATGTTTTCGATGATCTATATCAATATAATTTTTTAAAGAAAAAAAAACAAAAGAAAACAATAGATAATTACATGTGAGACGTTGTGGTAAAGATACACTTGTTTCACCAATATAATCAAATTGTTTACATGGACATGTAAGAACATAGATAATATTTCGAGTTGTACATGTTGTTGGACAATTTAAAATTGATCGATAACCATTGACAAAAATATGTTGTATAGTTGATTTAGATTCTATATGTGGAGATGGATAACATAAACAACAAGATTTTTGATGACATGCTTCCATTGTATAACGACCATAAGGTGGTCGTTGATTTGTTGAAAATATACTTTGAGGTTCATTGATAATAGGTTGTGCACCACGATAGGAACATGTTTTCATATAGAAGAGATCATAATCCATTTGAAGATAAAATTCCAAGGCAGTTGTATATTCATCTACATGAAAATATTCTTCTTGAGGATGCGTAGAAAAATGATACATTCGTTTATGAGCCAAAGTATCAAGCAATGTTAACATTTTTTTTAAATTAAATTCTAATATATCTCGATGAATATTCCAAGATTGACTTAAACTATTGATCCATCGTTCATGTTCATTTTCAAATGTTGTTGGTTGATAATAACCAAACAGTTGACGTTGTATCGATTGTTTTTCATTGAGTTCATTGACTAGAACGAGACAAAATAGAAATTTTAATGATTCCTTTTTTTTTGTTTTATTACTTGGTACATTCGTTAATAGAAGATCATTTGGTGATGTTGGATAACATGGAAGAAGAAGATAACGTTTTTTTCTTGTTGAATCTTGTTCTTGTGACATTCTAGATAAATCTGAAATAGAAACAATAATATCAAATTTTATTTTGAACTAAGAGATTATTTAATGAAAATGAATGTTGAACATTAAAAAGTATTTTAAATTGTTTTAATGATAATATTGGATGTGAATTCGTATATGTTGACCAAATATGAGAAAACGTATTTTTAAATTCATGATAAGGTCCATAATCATACAAATATGTAAACTGGATGATTGAATTTGAAGATTTTCGTGATGGAAATTTTAATAAATGTGAACGAAGTTGTTGATAAATAAGTTCGTTCGTTTGAATTTGATAGATATTCACATTAAAATAACGATTAAAATTTTGTAATTCATTTTCAATAAATTCATGAGAATAACCTGATGTTAAACAACAAATTTCCATATTGATTCGTTGGCGAGTAAAATCTTGATAATTTGTACACAATTGTATTAGACGAATTAATGTTGAACGAAACCATTTTTGATATTTTACTTTTGGATAACCTGTCACATAAGGTAATATCATTGATGTTGATTTTATTGCTGTATAGAATTGACCATGATAATTTTCCAAATAAATATTTTGAATAGTAATTTTTTGACCATATTCAATCTTCAAATCGATATAATCACCATAGAAGAATTCTTTTAATGTATCAAGAAATGTATTAAGATTATCTTTCGATTGATTCCATGTAAAAAATAATTCATCTGCATATTGAAGAATAAATTCATTATTATTAAATTTTTTTGTTATCCAATAATATAAACATAAACTAGATAATAATGTATTAAAATGTGTTTGATTTGACATACCACGATTGAAACTATAAATATGATCTTGATAGATAAATAATGTATATTTTAAATATAATTCTAGTAAAGTTTCAATAGCAATCATTGACACACCATTGATCGGTTGATTTTTACAATGTTTCACTAATAAATATATAATTCGATTCACAGTAGATTGATATGTAAACATATTAAAAAAATTTTGAATTTTTATTCGTACCAATAAAGTTGTTTGTTGAAGTTTCGAAGAACATTTTGGTTGTTGAAGACGTTGAATAAAATCAAAATCTTGATCGACAAAAGTATCTTTTAATATATCTTCAATTGTTGGTCGAAGTAGATTATCGAGATAAGTTGATAATTTCCATGTTACATTTGATTCCATTGAAAAGATTGGTTTGACATAGGATCTATCAAATAAAAAATAAACATTCTTTAATTGAATATCATTACGTTGAAGAACGAGTTGTTGATAAATATCTTTATTTAAAAAGTTTAATGCCATATTAATTTTTTGAATATGTTGATTAACTATTGTCTCCATATTTGAGATAGAAGATACAAGTTCATAATCATCTTGATGTTGTTTCATATATTGTTGACATCGTTCATAAAATCTAGCTTGATCTATTAAATAGAATTGATTGGTATGATGAGTTGTTCTCCGTAGAATAAGATTATGTTCATGAAGACATTGTTGTATGGTTCCAATAAGTTCTTGTTCATTATATGAACGTTCTAAAGTTGTTGATGGTATTTTTCCATTAGATAAAGAAAATAATTTGAAAAATTCTTCTTTTGTTTTCTCTTCAATGATATGAAATAATTTTTTATCATTTGGATATTTTTTCACTAGATCAACTAATAATTGTTGTTGTAATGGTTGATATTGTTTTTCAAGAAATTGTAATTGACATGGTGCTACATAAGATGGACCACGATATAATAATTTTAATTGTTTTTTATTAAAATAATTTTTCATTCTTATGGAATCTATTTCTAAATTATTAATAAAACCAATACGATTATCATCACGATGATGATGATGAAATAGACCACGAAGATTATAATTTGTATGAAAATCTAATTTTAATTTCATTTGTTCACGTATTAATTCGATACGTTGATCAATGATATGAAATAATATTTCATTTGTTATTTCTTTTTTTTCTAATTTTAATTTTGTTTCATATTGATAGATATTTGTTTGTAGACATAGTAAACGTAATGACATGAGTTGTGTTTTAGTTCGTTGTAATAATTTTTCATAGAGATCCTTGGATAGTAATTGAAATTCTAATTTATCATAAGATCGAGGTGGTTGATCGTAGAGCAGTTGTAATCGATGATAGATTAATTCATAGTTCATGGTTGATAATTGAAAACTTGTATCGAATATTTTTTGTGCNTAATTGAAATTCTAATTTATCATAAGATCGAGGTGGTTGATCGTAGAGCAGTTGTAATCGATGATAGATTAATTCATAGTTCATGGTTGATAATTGAAAACTTGTATCGAATATTTTTTGTCCCATATCTATCTATTTTATAAATATCAAAATTCAAATTAATATATATATACATATAGAATAAAATTCTCAAGTTACTTGATATTTTGTTGAAGCTTCTTTTTGATATTGAACCTGAAGTTGATGATCATGATATTTATTATATAATAATGCAGTCGTATATTGACAATCCATATGAATTTCGATTAAACCATATTCATTGACAAGTTTTTCAATAACATCTTGTATATAAGAGTCCATTTTACATGAATCATATTCTTTTTGATAATAATCTAATTTAATTTTATAATCATTGAGTTGTTGATGAATGAAAGTTTCCTGATATGCCCAATAGGGTTGTTCATGTTGGATTGATTTTAATAATTGACCAAGACCAGCTTGTAAATAAAGTGACCATAAATCATGCAAATGTTTATAACGTCCTAGTTCATAGAGAATGTATGCTATATGTCGAAGATCTTTTCGATCTATTGTACAAGTTAATTTATCCAATTCATCTTGTAGATATTTTGGTATTGAATCATCATCATCATTCTTGTTACTCATTGACAATTGACTTAATCGTTGTGATAAATGTTCTTGTGGATCATCTTGTATTATTTCATGTTCATTAATATCATTTCTATATTGAGTAAAATAATCATCTTCTAATTCATCATCACGTGCCATTATACCATATGAATCGCCATCAATAACGTCGAATTGATTAGAAAATAATTTTGAATTTTCCTCCATGTTGATCAAGCCAAAAAAAAAAAAGAATAATCTAAAATAAATCAACCATAATAAGAGAAATGCAACCAAAAAAGAAAACAAAATTATTTTTCATGATAATAATAACAATAAATAGCATGCACTTTACGTATCATCAAACTAAAACGTTGATCAATCAAATTTAATATCGTTTCAGAGAATTGCTCTTTCACAGGTAATGAATGTTGATAATTCCAGAATAGAGATATATCATGATTGAATGTAGTTTGTATTTTTGAATAAATTTCATCTGACATAGTAATCAATAATCGAAGTAGTTGACGTTTATAATCCTGAAGTATTTGTTTATGTTGATCAATGAATTGTTGTTGAATAATATGATCTGTAATAGTTTCAATAAATGATGGTATCCCCACATGTAAATAACGAAATGATGATGGCCATTGATTTTCTTTTTGATAGTTTTTCAAATGTTGAATTTCTTCTCTCCATAATTCTAATTCATATTTTCTATTGACCATTTGTTCAATCATTTCCATCTAGAATAAACAACAATATAATCTTAATTCAAAAAAAAAAAGAAATTTCTTACTTGATTTGAATTATGACTTTGTAGTTGTTGTTGAATTTCATGGGCTAGTTGTTCATCGTCATGATCATAATCATAATCAAATAAATGAAAATGTTCTTCAATATATTTTTCTAAGATATTTTCAATAATTGTTTCATATTGTAAAATTTGTTCAATAGCAGGCTTTTGTAAATAAATTTGAACAACATTGGAATACATTTCATCGGTAAAATATTCAATTGATTGATTACGAACTATATTCATAGATAGAATCACTTGTTTTAACATGGTAGGCCATCGATGTAAACCATTTTCGATTGTTTTCAATAATGTCGACCAAAGTTGTTTTTCATGAAGACGTTTTCGTTCTTGATACATAGTTATTGCTAATTGTTGTAATTCTTCAATGGATATGGTTGTTGTTGATATTGAAGAAAATATTTTACGAAATAATTCTTGAAATTGTTCATTTGTCAAATGTAACCATATTGGAATATCATCCGCATTGTCTTTATCAGTAGATGGTCGATCAATTGTAAACGAAGATATTTTTTCAAAATCCATATTTATCTAAAATAGAACAAGCAAATCGAATACAAAAAAAAAGAAAGATGATTATGTATGTTTTTGTATTGTATTTAATGAAAAATAATTATATTCACTAGTACAGTGGTTCATTGGTGGGTCACGTTTGAAGATAGAACAAAATAATTTTATTATAATAAATAATATCCCCATGAATAAAACAATCAATATGATACTAATAATGAGAGTTTGTTGATGTTGTTGTAAAAATGATCGAAGATATTCTGTTTCCAATGATTCCATTATTATCTGAAAATAGTCAAAGAGAAAGAAAGTGAAAACAAAAACAAATGAGATTTTATTTTATTTTATTTCATTTTATTATATATCTTGAAATTCAATAATAACATGATGATAAGGAGCAAGACAGTGAAAATGTAAACCTTGTTGATGGAATTTGAATATATCCATGAGGATTGAAATTGTAAATTTTGCCAACATAAGCAAAAATAAACCAGTCAAAATAATAATCATCAATATTTTGTAATCCATTTTGAAGTTGTCGTCAATTGAAAACATTATCTAAAAAGAAGACAAAATCAAATTGAATTTTCGTTCGATAATGATGATTTAGTATATCGTCGATAAAATACTAAAAGTAATAAACTAATGACGATTAATAAAATGAAAAGTAAAAAAAAATCTTGAATAATCGAATGAGATTTGAAAAGAAAAATCATAGGTCGTTGAATAATATTTGTGATGTTGAATTGAGGAACTTTCGATGCATTGGCATGTAGATGAAAATCTCGTAATGATATCAATGGATTCATATGAATTTGATTATGATGTTGAGTGAGACGATTTTTCACTTGAACAGATGAAAAGGGACCATTGAGAATACGTTCATTTGTTCGCATTTCTGGATTCATTTTTAATCTAAAATGAAAAGATAAAACAAAAAAGAACTACAACTACAACTAAAATGAATATTAATGTTTGAAAAAATTGGCAAATGGTAAAGGTATACTTTGTCTACGCATGAGATGTTTTTCAATACAAGTTTTAAATGCACAATAAAAAAAAGCTAACAAACACATAATGATAGTCATACAAACAAGATAGAGAGGCCTACAAATAAATAAACAAACAAATATATGAAGATGAACAAATTTTTTTTTTCAAATACCAATTATTTGTAAGATTTGTTAACCAATTGACTGGTGTTAATATAAGATCAGTACCACCTTGCATAACACGACCAGTTTGATTTTTAACCATGTTCAACCAACGATCTGATCCTTTTTGATTAAGATCACCATTATTACCACTGCTATTAATTGAGCTTCCACCTTTCGCTGATACTTCTGTTTTAGTCTCATCACTAAAAAAATTGATCCATGCTCGACGAAACCGATGTTGTTGTTGTTGTTGCTGATCGACAATTGAAATTGTTTGAATTATTGGTAAGAAGATGAGAATGAAAGTAAATAACATGATGAACTAAAACGAAATGATGAATTTTTGCTAGTGAGTATTCACCTTTTATAGTATACTCATCGGAGAGTGA